GTTGGAGCTCTTGTCGCTGCCTGGCCGAAGTACTCAGAGGCGTCTGAAAGCCCGAAGCTCCCCGAACACTGTCAGGGCGAGGGGGGGAATCACACGCACTCCAAACCTCCAGGGGCCCTCCGAAAGCCCTTGCACGCGCTGGCACCCTGAAAATAGTCCGCCACAGCGCGTCGCCGAAGCAAAACTCATCCATTCTCGTCCTAGCCCTTCCATCGCCTCCGAACGGCTGAGAGCGCACGTAGATTCCGACCAGACAGGTCCTGAACCTGACGCAACAGAACCACCTCCATTGCTACAACTTCATCAGGCTTCGGAGATGCTAGAAGAAACGGACTAGCAGTTGAGCATATGAATGGGGCTGATGGAGATGTTTTCCGCCCCGTCCCTTTGTGCAAGGCTTCCCCGATAAACTTGACATGTCGCGGGACGTTTGGAAAAGAAGAAACCCCAACTCCGGTCCCGCGCCCAGGGCTGAAACGCCTGCATCAACGATGAAACCCACTCTTAACCGCAAACTCCACACCGCAAGCCTCCATCCCCCACAATCCCTGAACAAATCTGAGTTCAAACGCACTTGCTGCATATGATTCCATGAGATTCCTTAAAGAGCTGTTCCAAGGTGGGCAGTCGGTCGGCAGCGGCCTTATTGGCCTAATGACTCCGAAAGGGCAGGCAGCCTGGGTTTCAGTGGCTGTCGCAGCAAACCGAGGTCGTCCTTGGACCTGGGCCCCGCGGTTTTTTCGGACGCCGTCTGCCCCTTTCGACGGACAAAAGTGATAGAACTTTACCAATGTACTGGCCCCAATAGAGGCGGAATGACAAACAGCAGCTCGAGTTTCTGTAGTCCTTGCAGACGCTTTTGTGCGATGCATGTCCTTCTAGACTCAAGCTCTAGCCTAAACCCCAGGACAACTGGGCACCGGGCACCTTGGTCAGCGCCGACACATTCACAGGTTTGCCCTTGTCGCGGCAAGGCGTGAGCAGTGAAAACAATCCAATCTACAGAACCGCGTCTGTTGCGAATGTGGTTGTACACCGCTTGCAGGCTGAAAGTCTTCGAAGCTCTGCAGCTTAGAAAAGCAACGATCGCGAGAAACACACACAGGCGTTGCTCAATGTTGCTCACAAAAGCAAGAACATTACGTATTATCGCCCAATGAAGGTTGGAACTTGAACTTGCGCTCCATGCAACAACAGATCAAGCTTTATTAGCATGGCCGCGGCATGACGGAGATCCCTGAAGGAACCCTTTAAGCGGCCCTCCGCTGCATGAGATTTCATAAAAAGCTCATGCTCAGGCTGAGCGATATTGGCCACAGGAGTGCTGAACACTCCGGGGCCCAGGCCGAGCGATATTGCCTGAGGGCTCCCACAAGCTTCCGTTCTCTGAGTTGCTTGTTACATGTTGGGATACTTTTCAGGAGGACTGTGCTGCAAGAAGAGTTTTGGGAGCGTTTGAGTTTCGAGCTTGGAAGTCTGTCACGATAAGTCGGGGGCTGAAGAACGGAACGTCGTTGGACCTTGCTCTACACTAAGCCGTAAACCAGACTCGCCACCCGGCTCCAAGGCAACGAGTGTATCATCGCCACCGTTGGAGAACTGTCTTCTTGCGACGACTGTTGTTCGAAGCCAGTGCACGTGTACTGCTCTTCTCTGCATGGGCTCTTTCTTAGCATGATCAAGCAATGGACGCAAAGAGATAGAGAGAGGCAACACACACACACACAAAAACAAAACACAGATACAAATGCATGCGTTCCAAGCACTCACACAGACATGTGCACGCACGCACGCACTCACGCACGCACACAAACCCACACCCACACACACACACACACAAACAAACACAAACACAAACACAAACACAAACACAAACACAAACACAAACAAACACCAACACCAACACCAACACCAACACCAACACCAACACCAACACAAACAACAGAAACACCAACACCAACACCAACACCAACACCAACACCAACAGCGACAACAACAACGACCAAGCCAACGACCACACCACGACCACC